GTCGACCTTTAAACGATCCTTTTCCCGGAAGCTCATAGTTAATTTCTGATGAATTCGTCATTATGGGACATCTTATCAGATTTCATACCCATCTATCAAATCTCACTGTTACCATACAATGTATAACAATGGTACAGGCGGGGTCACTGTACCGTAACATCTTAAAAAAATAAATCTCATGTTAAAATAATACTGCCTACATTTTGTTTTTTTTTTTCATTTAAGAGTTAGATAGATAACCTTTATTACCAGTATTAAGAAAATAAAAAAATAAAACAATATAAAGAAAAAAAACAATTAATGTTGCTGGTAATAGGAGCCGCCTCAGCTGTTACTATATATGTACAGCTCCAGTGAGAAATACCTATATAGCGCAGAGTTTCCTTTTGTCGGTGCAACTAATTCATGCATCTTCTTCCAGCCAGCTCTATCCCAGGCCATATCTTTGACCTCCCTATACGACATGACACCTAGTGTTTTTTTTATCTGTCCCATAAAGTTATTCCTCGGTTTTCCTCTTCGCTTTTTGCCCTCTATTTTTCCTTCTATTATGCTCTTTAAAAATTGGTCATGTCGTACAAGATGGCCCAATATTTTGCCTCTTCAATTCTCTATTGTTTTAATTAATGTTCGTTTCTCATTCACCCTTTTCAGGACTTCCTCATTCGTTAGTTTTTCTGTCCAGCTTATTTTTAATAGTACATTATATAAATGTCAAAATATTAAATTAAATACAATGATTTATCATCACCATTATATCAGTCATTGTCTGTCCACTGCTAAATTTAGGCCTCTACATGCTAGAGAGTATTGCCACCATACCAGTAGTTGCCACGACACTCACGGGAAAGAAAGAACTGGCTCATTCTATGCCGGCTGAAAATAAATTAATTCATTATGTTTATTTATGTCTAAACATTACAAAAATTCTCTGCTTCATTGGAATATTTACTCAAAATTATGAAAAAAATACTCAATCTGGCAACACAGGCGCGCCGCGGCGTTTGGAAGCATCATCTGCTGCGTTTTCGCACGACAAACGCAAACAAAATCGTCGCGCGCACCGACAGACACGTGAGTGTTTTTTAAAATGTTTACATTACCGGCAAAAACCGCTGGTGTGGGTTCACGGTTCAGTGCTAGATCGGTCCGAGTCAAGAGAGCTAGCGACTATAGGAATGTGTCCCACAAAAAAGCCGACTTCAATTGTGTGCTGGAGTTTCGTCGAGTGACCACAGAGTATTTGTGTTCAGACGTTTTTTGTTTCAGTTAAATCTTTTTATATTATTTTTGTTTAATATTTTTGTGTAATATTCCTTTTTATATGTTATTGTACTCATGCTTTCCTGGGTGAGCGTATTGGAAGACTGTAAGGCTCACCCAGTGGATGTAATAAATAAATAAAACCAGTTATTTTGTTTTAAACTACTACTAAGTCGATTTTAAAGATGTTTCTACAGAGCCAATCTTATCAGACCAGTATTTGCCGTGTGGTCCCGATTAGAATAGGCCACCCCGTGAGTGTCGTAAGAGGCGACTAAGGGAGTGTCAGTAGTTGCCACGCTTGGCAGGCGGATTGGTAATTGCAGTTAGACTTTGGAGATGTTTTAAAAGGGACGCTGCTGCCCATCCCTCGCCCTTCTTTAGTCACCTCTGGTAACATCCACGGAAACGATGGGGTGGCCTATTTTATCTCTGGACCATATGGTGACATACTAAATAATGTCAAATTATGCGTTATAAAAAATTTATAATAAACGTATATTTTTTAATTTAATACTATAAATTACTATATTTAAACCGTTGTTTTACTATCAGCAGATGTATAAATATGTATATCTAACTATATTTGGTTTATTTTTATTATCAATTAAACCACAGTCGTAACAGGACCGATGACATATTGTACAAACAGACGATCATCGAATGTGGAACACAATAACAAATCGTCAAACTAGTGGAGTAACTCGACCGTTACGTGGACATCCGTGTTTACATATAACTGATTTTTAGCAGTCACGATTGTCTTCCAAGAATGGAATAAATATTTGGATTGGAATGCAGACCAATCGTCTGGCAGTTTATTGCATTATTGTACCCTTGTATAATATCGTAGTCTGCTATCGGAGGATACTCGGATACTTTGGTCATATTGCTCGTCAAAAGTCCGACAATCTGGACATGCTAATTGTTGTAGTTTGTTTGATAGAAGGGAAGAGACCGCGCGGACGATCACCTAGTCGATGGACGGACCAAGTAACCGCCGATACGGGACTATCAATTGCAGTTGTCTTGCGAGAGGCTGGAGACCGTGCGATGTGGAGTCATATCTTAAGAGAGGCAACAGGCATCTTTCAAGGACACAACCTTCAGTAATGAAGTGGACGAAAAGATATATATATATATATATATATATATATATATATATATATATATATATATAGAGAGAGAGAGAGAGAGAGAGAGAGAGATAGATAACATCGTGAACAATAAACGGATTAATTCTTTTTGCAATCAATACAATATACGAAATGCACCCTTATTTCTGAAATGGTATGGTACATGAAGAGTTAATACGTTTATTTGAATATGGCAAATTTATAACAGTAAAATAAACACATTTATTCTACTTATTAATTTCAGTAATATTATACACTCAAATATTAGCCGTATTAATTAATTATTTTGTTGATTTAATGATGTTTTTCTTTTTGATGCAAAACAGTATTCGTTACCTAAATAAAATCTGTTTGCAGACACTCTATTCCATGTTCTAAATTCAAGTCTAAATTGACTATGGATGGATCGTTGAGTTTCATCGGTGTCGTCATCATATCAGCGGGACAATTAATGTCCACTTCTGAACATAGACCTACCTAAAGGAGAGTTTTGCCTTGTTTTGAGATGGTTGCCATGCTTGGAAGTTGGGTCGGCAGCTGCATTTAGGTTTTTGGTGATCTTTTAAGAGGGATCCTGCTGTTCATCCCTCTACCATTAAGTTTCCTTAGTCGTCTCTTACGACATCCACGGGAAAGGCAGAGGTGGCCCATTCTATGCCGGCAATTCATCTGCATATTTTATCATAATTGAGGTCGTTGTATTTAGTAGAAATATTAATTTATTTATTTTAAATCTTTATTGAAACTAGTACATAAAAATATGCAATGACATTTAAAAAGTTCGTTTAAAATAAGATAAAATACAGATCAAATTATAGACATAAAAAAGTACAAAAGGCGGTCTTGGATGAAAGTTTTGTATTGGAGCAAGCGAAGTCACGGGTAAAAGCTAGTACACTAACTAAACTACTTGTTATAATAAATAATATATAATATATTACATAAACATAGTTATTGATCGCTCCGCTCATATCTTACACCATATATCTGTTCCTGTTATGATATATCGTGTAAACAAACATCCGAACGGGGACATACAGACATACATCCCGGTGGCCGAGCAACGATATTTTATCTCTAATTTATATGCTAATTGACAATATACACGTGATCGCAATATTACCTAAATTCTTTTGTTCCAACTTTTAATTGTACTCATATGTAGATAACATGTAATAAAGGTGCGTATATCGGTTGGAAAATTGGTTATTAGGTTGAATTTAGGTCGATGACACTCGCACGCACAGTATCGATCGACGAGGTCAAGCAACCGTCGCCTATAGACATGAGCAGTACCATGGACATAACAGAGTATACTGTTTCGTCCATCATACCCCTCATGCGTTGCCATTCCTGAGGACTCAGTTGTTATTCCTCTGTACCCTGTAAATTCACGCCATATCCCACCCTTCAAACCGAAACACAGCATGCAAACACAACTGCTTCACGGTTGAAACACGAATGGTACAGAGGTAGCCAAGCAATCGACTTTTGTACAAAGTCTCCCTCTGGTATCCTAAACATGTTTGTAAATAAATTAGATAGTAATAGAGAGGACTAGACCATTATTAGTGATTGAGTATTAACATAGTTTTTAAGTACACTTACCAACAAAAATGGAAGCGAGTCGTCTAAAATAAATAAATAATATAAATTAATATTATTCGTTGGTTTTTAAAAATGCAACCATATACAAGGTTTTAGTCGTAGTTTTCTGTATAACTTACCTTGTTCACAATACTCAATTTTGGGGACAAGAGTTTGTTAGTCATGCGGACTACCAGTCCCATTGCTAGCAACATACCCTGTCAGGTCGACCTCCACATAGTCCTCTCTAGAAACCATCGTGCTGAATTCCAAGTATGTTCATCATGAGCTATCTGACCTGCCTTTTATCCTCACCTATCATTATCATCCCTTACTGGTGTCCCGCTAATGTATACCGTTAGCGCAGTCATGGCAACCATTCCATTAAAAAAATACTTAAGTTACATGTGAGAATGTATGAGAAGTACGGCATATAAAATGTTATTTCGTCATAAATAATGGTGATATTTTTTTAAGGAACCCCATCAATCAGTGGCCGTGAAAGTTTGCATCCACAAATGTCATTAATCAGGGCGCCAGAGTTCCAAAACAACATTTATCTGGCCATTTCAAAAAGGAAGTTCGCATTTGACGGACATGTATTACCGTTGCCAATTCTAAACCTATTTTAATGATTCGTTTTTCGTTTCAAAAGTTTACCCACGTGTTAGTCTCGTAGACATTGAATTCGGTTTTATCTTATAGTATAAAACGTAGAACATAAGTTTTTTTTTTTATATACGGACAAATCACACAGATTGAGCTAGCCCCAAAGTAAGTTCGAGACTTGTGTTATGGGATACTAACTCAACGATACTATATTTATAATAGATACATATATAGATAAACATCCAAGACCCAGGCCAATCAGGAAAAGATCGTTTTCCATCATGACCTGGCCGGGGATCGAACCCGGGGCCTCCACGTCGCATGCTGGCGTGTTGACCGCTGCGCCACGGAGGACGACAAGTTATAAGTTATCTGTTATTATAAGTTTTTTTTTTTTATTTTCAGATGTAAAGAACCGTCAACGTCACGAATATTTGAGGTTAGTAAAAATTTAAATTTGTACATTTAAAAGAGCACATGCCTTATGACTTATATAAGAAGACTATGGGCCGTTGGTACGTAGGGTCCCGAGGCCATGAGTCTTTTTAAAGAGATATCACGCCGGCTGGTGGAATCCTTAGGCGACCAGAAAGCTGGCCTATATTTTGGTCAACGCATCTCCATGGTCATTCAGCATGCAAATGCAACAAGTTTCGTAGGTGGGTACCTACGAGACTTGCTGCATTTCCACTGGTAGGGTTACCAGTTGACAGTGATATAAAAAAATGTTTATTTTTAAGTAATGTTTTAAGTATAAGTTATATTTTTTATATATTTGTATATAGTACAAACTAATTATATAAATATCATAATAACTGTAAAAGCATTGTTATTAATAAATATTAATGGACTAAACAAGAAGACGTGGTTTCTAGTGGGGACCACGTGGATATTCTGATATCCACGTGGTTCCCACTAGAAACCATCGTGCTAAATTCTAGGCGTATTCGACACGATGGGCTAACTGACTTCTCTTTTTAATCTCACCTATCATCCCTAACTAGTGCCCCGCGAGCGCATCTGTCCATCAGAATGGAATTAACCACCGTGGTTTCCAGGGGTAACCGCGTGAAGGTTGACCTGATAGGTTTATCGCTTCGCTTTTTTGGCTAAGATCAGTGATCTGACCTAGAGTATATTGCTAGCAATAGGCCGCTTATCCCTATAATTATCAATCCCATACTTATATAGTTACTCTAGCACATCAGTAATAACATATGTATAGTTTGGGGGGAAGGGATTGTTAGTAATGGAGACTGAGAATCCCATTGCTAGCAATATACCCAACCAGGTCGACCTCCTCGCGGTTCCCCCTGGAAACTATCATGGTTAATTCCTGATGAATTTATCATGATGGGCTAACTGGCCTGTTTTCATTCTCATCTTTCACCCTTCACTGGTGCTCCGCCAGCGTATCCCATTAGCGCAGGCGGAGTTACCTTTACCATACCATTTTCACCCATAAAAAAAATAACATATATATACTTAGTCCCATGCCCCTGCGTGAGACTATTAATTAAAATGCTAATAAAAACAAACATGAATGGGAATGCGTCATAGGAAACATTACGTCAAGGTGAAGTTTACAGTTTTTTTTACAAGCGCTAATGTGTGGCAGTTCTTGATCAAGGAACTAGTGTGACTAGATGTGTTAATTGAACACGATTGCTAATAATAAGTGCTTAATTAAAAATCTCCATTTCTAAAAGGATAATAACTTATAATATAAATTTATATATATTATATATGAAATCAACAGATATTACTCCCGTTCGCTATTATGATTAAAATTAAATTTAAAGTCACATTGGTTATTCTTATGAAGTGAAAACTTAATTGTTGACTTTCGAAATCAAATTGTTTTTACCGCTGGAAAGGTCTGAGTACTCTGATTCACGAAGTCGTAGTCTGACTCAACTTTGCTCTTGTACTAATATTACTAATTATCCATATATCACAGCATCTAATGTGTATGTGTATATATGTATATGTGTGTGTATGTATGTGTGTATATATATATATATATATATAATAATGAGTAGGGATAATTTTTATATTATAAATTTTTTCATCGTGCCTCCTACCAAATTGTTTATAATTACTCCTCTCCATCCAAAGGTTGCCTGGAAGAGATCGCTCTTAGCGATAAGGTCGCCCATTGTTTTCTCATTATGATTATTTATTGTAATTATTTATATTTATAATAAGTTTACTATTGTAATCTTTTGGAGGAAACAATAAAGAGTATCTATCTATCTAAATGGAGCGCCCTCTATAACTAGAAGACATTAATGGTTCATATATGCACCATCTAGACGCTTTAATTCCGTGCATTTATTTTCGTTCGCCACACTAAGGTCAATGGCTTTCAGACCTAAATAAGTTATATTACGAACACTTGCATGTCTCTCGTCTACTCGATTCAGTTTCACATCCAAATGTACATACATATCTGTCACGCCTGTCTCCCATTAGGGTAGGCAGAAACAATGGAACGCGAAATGTTTCGATTCAAACTTCTTTCGCTTCTGTAGAAGTTCAATCAATCTTTTCATACACGCTCGACAGTTACGGGTACTTCTAATATGGCCCTTCTTCAATACGTGGCCTATTTGGTTGACATACTCCCGACTAGAGCGGCGTCTAATGTACTAATAAGTTACATTAAAATTTAGGACTTGGCAATTATGAAGCCACTTTATGCTTTTAAAGTACATTAAGTTCATTGATGGTTAACAGCAGCTAGAAGCGGTTATAGTAAATAATGCATATTGTTTAATTAATTTCACCTGAAGAGGGCGACTGTGCTACGTCGTCTGCATCCATGGTATGAATGCTTATGTTTTACTTATTTCAACTGTCTTGTAATTAAATATACATATCTGGATGCTTGACTTTTTTGGTTTCTAGTCTTTTTTTTATGTAACTTAGAATGGCAAACAAGCTGACGGCCTAGTACGTGGTTCCCCCTGGAAACAGTCGTGGTTAATTCTAGTGAAATTCGTCATGATGGGCTAAGAGACCTGCTTTTATCGTCACCTTTTTTTCCAGAGGGAGACTGTACAAAAGTCGATTGCTTGGGTACCTCTGTCACATTCGTGTTTTAACCATACAGCAGTTGTGTTTGCATGGCTGTGTTTCGGTTTGAAGGGCGTGATATGACGTGAATTTACTGAGTACGGAGAAATAACACCTGAGTCCTCAGTAATGGCAACGCATGGGGGGGTGTCACGGGTGAAACCGTATACTCTGTTATGTCTATGCTACTGCTCATGGTTATAGGCGACGGTTACCATTTTCCATCAGGTGGGCCGTCAGCTTGTTTGCCATTCTAAGTTGTATAAAAAAAAATAAAAAAATATCATCACTCACTGGTGCCCCGCCAGCGTATACCGTTAGCGCAGGCGGGGTTACCATTTCATTATCACTCATAAAAAAAATGGAGATCCACGTAATAGGGTGTATTGCTAGCAATAGTGTCATTAAACCTCTATTACTAACGATCTCTCCCCTTAATCGAATAGTTTACCAGCATATGAATGTAAAAGGACACTCATTATGTGGGCACGGCCAACCCTCACTGGCCGGCGGGGTAAACACGACCATGCAAACATCGGCAGCCAACACGGAACTGATTGATTACAGCTGTCACTGTAATTAAGGTCGGTTATTTGTAGTTGACGAACAAATTACTCCGTCCGCTGTTTGTAGTGTTGCGGATTGAATTGCCATGACGGCTTTATCGGTCTATTGTGCCTATTGGTTGGTGTTTTAGGGTTGACTTGTGTCCAACAATAAGGGCGTGGAAAGGCTGCGACAATTAGCAGTGTACATTTTTTGTTTGAATATTTTGTATTTGAATAACGTCGACCAAATAGGCGACGTGCTGAAGAAGGGACAAATTAAAAGTACCCGTAACCGGCGAGCGTGTATGACAAGATTGATGAATGTGGAAGAAGCGAAAGAGGTTTGTTTGAATCGAAGCATTTGGCGTTCCATTGTTTCTGCCTACCCTAATGGGAGACAGGCGTAACAGATATGTATGTTTGTGTTTGAATATTATCTACTTTTCTTTCGTAGTATGTAATTGTTTTGCATCGCAAAAAAGGCGGTTTCAATCGTCACAAAATGATTATGAGAAAGAATCACGAAACATCAGCGCAGTAAAAAAAGAAGGGATGAAATTTTATATCTATTTGATGATGTAATACTAGTAGGTACTTGTATACTGCAAGTAAGCGGCTTGGCAGATTTACTTAAACGGCTTAACATACTTAGACGTACGGAGAACGGACGGCGAGTACTAACCTTCTCATATTATAAATGTAAAATTTTGTAGCCGTTTACTCCTCGAATACGCTTAAACGGATTTGAATGAAAAGTACATGGATTGACTGCCTATACCTGCCTACAATACATTAATAACAATATACATACATACATATCTGTCACGCCTGTCTCCCATTAGGGTAGGCAGAAACAATGGAACAAAACCTAATAATAGTATAATAATAATTAATTTATTTACACTCTATTGCACCATTTATAAAATAGTAAATACATTTATTTGTAATGAGAAATGATACAAAAGGCGGCCTTATCGCTAAACAATCTCTTCCAGACAACCTTTGGGTAGAGGACATTGAGAAAAAAAAGACGGGATGGGTGGCGCACTATTAATATATATAAATTAATATATACAAAAATATAAATATATAAACATGTATACATATAAAAAAATACATACATAATCATTCACAACTTAAAAACACATATACAATAGGAGAGAGTGAAACTAGAAGATGAAGAGAGAACACGGGAAAAAAAAAACTTAAAGGGAGAGATAATAGGATTTAACAGATATACCTGAAATAAATATTTTTATTTCAGATATACACCCGTAGTTTACATTCATTACGGTAATAATTTAATTTTAATTAATTACAATTTTTAGATTACATTACACTATACAACCGTTAATTAAAAAAATACCAACCAATTAAAATAATTCTATTGTAAATTTTTTGATCATCAGGTACGCACTGTGGAATACTGTCTTAACAGTAGGATTATTTATTTTCATTGATCTTTCATGGAATTTTGCTTTATTTTTACTTAAAATAGCAAAGAAATCATTAACCCTGTTCTCTGAGAACATGCCAGCTATGGCAAGTTGAGCATCGCTCGGAATGCGTTATTGTATTGTACACAAAGTGTGCTATAAGCTCTCTTTGTATTTTTGTATGCAACTTAGAATAGCAAATAAGCTGACGGCCCACCTGATGGAAAGTGGTAACCATAACATAACATAACATAGGTTTGTTTTTATCATAATTACATATCATTGATAATAAAGAAAGATAAGTAAGCTGAAGTGGCGATGTACTAGTCACATAGCTTGAACAACCGTTAACCGATGAAGAAAGGAGTGGGGACCTC